TGACCCTACAGTCTCCAGGTACTGAAAACATACATCTAGACACACAGAGACAGATGGACAAATCAACTACTTGGGGGAAAATGATAATGATGATTTTTTAAGATCAAGGCTGTATAATACTTTAAATCAACTAGACTGCAGGGTAAATTATTGGCATGGATCCTTTTGATCTACCTGTAAGTCCATGTATGGTTTTAAATAAGCCCATCTACACCTATTGCTGATCAGTAGAATTGAAAACCAATGTTTTGCCATAATCCTGCCAATAAACTTAAGACTTTGTATGTAACCCGCCCCCCTGGTAACAGAACAGATTTTCCTCCAAAAGAATCTAATCTCATAAGTTTAAGCAAAAAATTTACTGCAAAGACTGCTTTTGTTTTGTCTGACTCTCAATCAAGGTAGATAGTACAGAGGAAAACTAACACACATATTCTGGTATACAGTGGAACCTATTAACATTTTGGCAGATTGGCTGCTTCCCAGGCCCCTGCTTAAGAACTTGATGCTATCAACCTCTAGGGGGGGGGGGCACAGACAACATCAAGGTGAGGCTACATCTCTGTATACCTGCTGAAGGTGACACAATCCAGTAAAACGGAAAATCTGACACAAACAAAAAACAGGTAAATATTTACAAGAGTTGACACTATATAATTTTGGACATATTACTAATAAACTCTGACCTTAAGATATAGTCAGGAAGGTCACAGAACTACCAAAAGTAATCATATCCTACCTCAGATATTAAGATATAGTCAGGAAGGTCACAGAACTACCAAAAGTATATATATCCTACTTCAGATACTAAGATATAGTCAGGAAGGTCACAGAACGACCAAAAGTAATTCTATCTTACCTCAGATACTAAGATATAGTCAGGAAGGTCACAGAACTACCAAAAGTATATATATCCTACCTCAGATATTAAGATATAGTCAGGAAGGTCACAGAACTACCAAAAGTAATTCTATCCTACCTCAGATACTAAGATACAGTCAAGGAAGGTCACAGAACTACCAAAAGTAATTCTATCTTACCTCAGATACTAAGATATAGTCAGGAAGGTCACAGAACGACCAAAAGTAATTATATCCTACCTCAGATACTAAGATACAGTCAGGAAGGTCACAGAACTACCAAAAGTAATTATATCCTACCTCAGATACTAAGATATAGTCAGGAAGGTCACAGAACGACCAAAAGTAATTCTATCTTACCTCAGATACTAAGATATAGTCAGGAAGGTCACAGAATGACCAAAAGTAATTATATCCTTCCTCAGATACTAAGATATAGTCAGGAAGGTCACAGAATGACCAAAAGTAATTATATCCTACCTCAGATACTAAGATACAGTCAGGAAGGTCACAGAACTACCAAAAGTAATTATATCCTACCTCAGATACTAAGATACAGTCAGGAAGGTCACAGAACTACCAAAAGTAATTCTATCCTACCTCAGCTACTAAGATATAGTCAGGAAGGTCACAGAACGACCAAAAGTAATTATATCCTACCTCAGGTACTAAGACCAGCGATACAGAAACTATCACAACAGTTGAGATCACTGATCAGCAGACAAATTACCAGACATCCAAAAAATAAACAAATGTGTATATATCATTTTGTACTGCAGGTGGATTAGTTATAAACAATGCTTATCTATGTAGCATGGACCAAAAATAAGCCTTTCTAAATGTTAAAGCTCCAACTTAGTTTATGTGTATATAATCAAATATCTTATTGCGTCGAAGTACATCGAACTCTCCTTGTACACTGTCAGTTGGGTGCTTTTCAAAAATCTCAAATATTAATGTCAAATATTCAGCCGTAGGCGTTTAGAGATATGTGGTACAGGTTTCGGAGAAATCGCCAGTTATAGAAATATCAATTATTATCAAACCAATCTAAACTTATCTCCTGATACTGGAATGTGTATTTTCCAAACTGTATTTATGTTCTACAGGTGTCCTCTCTATGAGTATTTTATTATATATGTTATTACTGATGTAATCTGCTTTTTATGATTGTTCATCATCATCTCTTTTATTCATCAGTTCAGAGATACATGATAAGTATCATTATATGTACATACAATATACATTAGTATAATATGTACATACAATATACATAAGTATAATATGTACATATGATATACATAATAAGTATAATATGTACATACTATATACATAAGTATAATATGTACATATGATATACATAATAAGTATAATATGTACATACTATATACATAAGTATAATAAGATGTACATACAATATACATAATAAGTATGTACATACTATATACATAATAAGTTTAATATGTACATACAATATACATAATAAGTATAATATGTACATACTATATAAATAATAAGTATAATATGTACATATGATATACATAATAAGTATAATATGTACATATGATATACATAATAAGTATAATATGTACATACTATATAAATAATAAGTATATGTACATATTATATACATAATAAGTATAATATGTACACAATACATCATGAATCATTTACATATTAATTTACAGTACAATACTTTGTACATAAGTGTGTAAAATGTTGTCATTTATCCTCACCCCTGAACTGTATTCAGATATATCATCATTTAGTAAACAAGAATAATATTTCTGAACAAAAGCTTAATGTAATTTGGTTATGAGAAATGAAATCTATACAAATATCTCCTATCAGAGACCACCACAGTTACAAGAATTGTTATGATGTGTTCCATTGTTTATTTAGATCTGCGAAGTTTGCCTACATTTGTTCTAAAAATCCTCCTTAAACCACCTTTACTGTAATAGTTTAACAGAGAGCTAAACCCAGGGCCACCCAGTAAGTTAGAGACCTCCTGTGTAGGAAAACAATTCTCTCATTTTTAGCATTTCATTCTGCAAGGTATGTAATATGAAGGAGTTTCATAAGATATTACATGTCCCTTTTAACTATAAGTTTTTCTAGGGTGTGGAACACTGATCTGAGAAATAATTTTTTTCTCTTGCTACAAACATTACTTAAACTGTGTGTGTCTTAATTAGCTCATAAGTACACCAGATACCTCATTGTAATATCTTAGCAATATTCTTCTTCAAGGTTTTACAAGTACAATTATACATGAAGGAGATAAATTGCACCTGTGAATATGATCTTAATCCTCATTAACAAGGCTCTGTTACATCGCTTTGTATCTGTTAATTAGCAGTGAGTGAATACCAGTGTTATGTTGGGGGAGATAAGAATGCCAGTCATTCATAGCTGGTGTATCCCCACCTCTGTCATTGCAGAATGAGCCTATAGTCATTTGTGATGTGTAATACTGTACCTACTATGTTTCGTAGGTGTGTGTAGAATGTTAGGAATTCTTCGCTGAGCAACACTTCTTGGCATCAATGATTAAACCAAATTTCTCAATCATCAAAGTAGTAAACTAAGTTTTCAATCATTAACTGACAACAATCAATAATCAAATTACTTTGTCAACATCTCTTCCTCAGGCTCATTAAACTGTTTATTTACTTCAGGAATGTCCCGTATATGTTACACAGTAAATACAGTCAAATCTTGTTCTCTCAAATTTGTATAACTCCAAGATCCCATTTAATTCAAAGCATTTCATTGCAGCATTTCAAACTCACTCTTATTGTAACAATAAAATATGTTTATAAAGCTACAAAATATCAATAAAATTACTTAAAGTATACAAAGTATCAAGGGCAGGACCAAGGGAGATAACTTCAGGTCAGACTAAAGATTCAATTTTTGTCTGTGATACTTTGAAATCCAAAAAGATTCTCACATACAAAAACAGATTGTAGGTTTACCTAGCAAATATGTCAGACAGTTGTTTTTACTGTGAACAAAGGGCCATAACTCTAAATAATGGGAAATGACCTTTTTTAACAGTGAACAAAGGCCATAACTCTATATAATGGGAAATGACATGTTTTTACTGTGAACAAAGGGGTCATAACTCTATATAATGAGCAATGACACCAAATTTTGATATATAATATGCAACCCTCAGAGTTTCTTGGGTGATTTTTTGGTCTGTGAATGGACTCATTTCCCCATCTCAAATATTTAACACTTATTCATAATTCTCCGTGTATTCAAAATCATCAGGAACTTAAAAAGTTTCTGTGATTATTTGATGGAATCATTAATAAAAATTGTTTGGATCCTGGTAAATTATTTCAGACTTATATGACTCTCTGTTCACAACTAATTGATGTCTTCCTGATCCAGAGAATCCAGAGAATAATTTCAACTTTTATATATGTAACCAATGTTGGAAAACAGGTTTTAAAAAAATATGTTCTGACTTTTTTTTCTTTTTAATTTGCAACTCTTAAAAATACATAATGAACAAGCTCTGATAGTTTACAAATGTAAATTTAACATCTTGATAACAAACAACCACCTAGTATATTTTCTTTATATATTAACTTTATATATGACATATATTAAATATACAAACATTCACAGCCTAAATGACATTATATATCACTGGTGTAAATATTTCACAATCAACGTGTATATCAGATAGAGAGAAGATGTTGTTTCCATATACATTTAGCTGCATTTTTAATGTCAACTGAAACCATCTTTCAATACCGATATTAATTTGTCTCATATATTTTCCTGTTAAGAAAAATAAAAATTCAGAATTTATTTCCTATGAGTATATTAGTGCAGCCATATTCTGTGGAAAATCAGTGACAGATTATAACATTTAGACTTCATTCGGTCATGGCATTCATAGCTGGTATGATTGCCTTCCAAGTGTGGTCATTGCTACAGTGAATATTGGTAGTATTCAGGAGAGATGCTTTCAACCCAGAAATCAAGATTACAAAAATCAGAATGATAAATAACAGTGGTAATTAACATGAACATCAGTTTGTACCTAAAGCAACAAAAATATGAATAAACAACAGTATATATATATATATATATAAATCATTAGAGAAATATACTTACCTAATTGTGCCTGTGCTTCCTTTATGTCTCTCACCCAAGCCTGTTTGGAATACGGGGACTTAGTCTCGAGTGTAAACAATGGTTGAGAGCTTTTTACACTTTCGTCTTTGTCTTTGTCCTCTATATCCCAGAACTCCAAACGTCTGGAGTCAGCGAATCCATCATGGTCGAGGTCGGTGTTTTTCAACTGCAAAAGTGTTTGTACAGTTCTAAAATAGCAATCAACTCAAATTTGAAGAACTCGTCTATGGGGTGAGATTCATAAAGGCAACCGAAAATGAAAGAAAATGGGGAGAACCCCGAAAAGATGAAAAAATGTACGTCTTTTCTCTTCTGCACTTACTTTGTTATCTAAGGATTCTGCCTAAGTCTCCTTTACATAAACTTAATATTCATGATGGCCTGAGCCAGGAATTTTCGCATTTTTTCTGCCTCCTGTGTGTTGTAGCCAAGTGATGGGGCCTCCTGAGCCACAGATAAGTGTGCTGGAGTCTACATTTATGAGTCAGTAGCAGCAGAGGCAGAAGATGTTGAGTTAAAAATAGAACTTTTGAAATGGTACAGGAAGCTACAGGCAGATAGAGAAACTTCTTATCTAACCAGCATTCCAAGTATCCTACTTGGGGGCCCACCAGGGGGTATCTTCTAAAGGGCATATGACCAATAATTGCTATCATAAGAGGCCTAACAGAAGGTTCTGTTTATTTATGATTTTTTACTCTTTTATAGGTCATGTAGACATTTCTGGTAAGAAGGTGACTTAATGCAAACCTGTTTATCAAGAATACTCAGTAAGACAAGAAAAAAGAATGGAATAGAAAGGTAAAAAACAAGGAGGTAGTTATAGACAGGTGTTATACATATAGACAAGTGGTAGATATAGACAGGTGTTATATATATAGACAAGTGGTAGATATAGACAGGTGTTATATATATAGACAAGTGGTAGATATAGACAGGTGTTATACATATAGACAAGTGGTAGATATAGACAGGTGTTATACATATAGACAAGTGGTAGATATAGACAGGTGTTATACATATAGACAAGTGGTAGATATAGACAGGTGTTATACATATAGACAAGTGGTAGATAGAGACAGGTGGACTTTATAGACAGGTGGCAGGTATAGACAGGTGTGATAAACAAGTGGTAGAGACAGGTGGTAGATATAGACAGGTAATAGATGTAAACAGGTGGTAGATATAGACAGGTGGTAGATGTAAACAGGCGATGAATACAGACATGTGGCAGATATAGACAGGTGACAGATATAAACAGGTGATAGAGATATACAGGTGATAGATGTAAACAGGTGGTAGATGTGGACAGGTGGTAGATATAGACAGGTGGTAGATATAGACAGGTGGTAACTATAGGCAGGTGGTAGATATAAACAGGTGGTAGATATAGACAGGTGGTAGACGTAAACAGATGGTAAATATAGACAGGTTGTAGATGTAAACAGATGGTAAATATAGACAGTCGATAAATACAGACAGGTGGTAGATATAGACAGGTGGTAGATATAAACAGGTGGTAGATGTAGACAGGTGGTAGATATAAACAGGTGGTAGATGTAGACAGTCGATAAATACAGACAGGTGGTAGATATAGACAGGTGGTAGATATAAACAGGTGGTAGATGTAGACAGTCGATAAATACAGACAGGTGGTAGTTATAGACAGGTTGAAAATGTATACAAGTAGTACTTATCTATAAACAGGTCATAGATAGGAGACAAACAGCTATACCACTAGACAGTTTTGACTCTAATACAAACATAAAGATTAAATGAATCTCATAAATAATCATTGTATCCTTTTTATTCATTCCTTCTTTCTATCTGAAAGGATTGATCATTTACACTGAACTTGGAGAAAGTACTTGGCATTATAACTGTATAAATAAACAGACATGTGTCCTGGTGATACAAGTGAAGTCTCTAGGTCGTCATATCTAAAGAATCACCAATAGTTTAGTTCCCCAGATACAAAACTTTAACATTGTCTACAATATAATGTGTTCACATGACATTGCTTTCAATTAGTACATAGTATACCTCCAACATTTTCTTATCATTTTTATCAACAAATCACCTGAACATTGGCAAATTAACTTTTCCAATGCTTGTCTTTTTGTTACGCTTTCTAGATTGTTATATGAAACACTGAGTGGTACCTTTTGAACTAAGGGGGAAACAATTAGCTGAGGATAAGAGTTCAAAATGATTTCATCAATTAAATTTCTATGATGTTTTTTTGATAATTGGAAATTTAGAAAACTTCAAAATCAAAAGTAACAACCTGTGTCCATCACTTGATATGAGTGAGAAAGCCTGTATTTATAGTTCAGTCATTCAAATCATAAATATAAAAATTATGAGAAGTAACAGACAACGAAAATGAAAACTTGATTTTGGAGGCACAGCTAGTGTAGTGTGGGTGGAACACACTGGCAGTTGTTAGGTATTTATTTACATCCCAGAAATCACAACATTATTGACTACACCAGAAGGAATTTATTAGTCATCCAATATAACAAATATCCCAAAGTCTGGCAGGACTACATAAGTACAGAATTATAAGCAATAATCAGCTTCATCAACTACGTAAGATGTTTGGATATCTCCTGAAGCCACACACCTGCTTTTATAGGCCTCTAGCTAAATTTACAAACCAGCAAGCTTAACATTACATTACTATAACACAAATAGTGCCATATTTCATCAAAGTAGAATTAACAGAACATTTGGAATCTATTTACAATACTCATTCGCGGGATATATCTCAAATAATTGTGAAAGTTTTATTTTCTTTCAAGAAATGACTTTTCAAAAAGATAACCATACTTTAGGTCTTGTACAAAAGCCACAGCAAAAATCTCGACTGACGCAAACCACAGGTACAGAATTAGCAAACAGGTATGATGTTACAATGGCATGCTTATACTGTGTATTAATGTTCTGTATCATTAATGACTTGTACAAAACAATGGCGTTAATTCTGAACACAGGACAGGGATTCTGTGCCAGGGTATATCACTTACTATACTGGCTAAATAACAGCCCTTAGTTAGGGGAAACAACTACTCAGCTTAATTTTTAACTAGTTATCTCCCCCTAGTTTGAAACTTAGAATAGATATGTATCCCAGAGACCAAAATAGTAAAATTCAAATTCACTCATTCATTTTCGATCTAAAGACAGGGGCCAGTCTAATCACTTACACTTCTCTACCATTTAAAAAAAATGTTCGTCTCGTGTTAAGAATGATGCGACATGTCTGAACACTATACATGTATGGGTTCCTAAAGTATTGGGACTTTTTGAACCAAGATTAAATGTTCATATTTCTGTAATTGGTCAGATATATATAATTTTATAAAACAAGGGAAATGATTTTACAATGACCATATGATTTTCACAAGAAATTTTATGAATTGACATTGTGTTGATAATTTTTCATTTACATACTCATTTTATAGTTTAATGAAATGAGTTTAATAAATTTTTAACGCCCCAATAAAGCTAACTTTCTCTAAAAGAAATTGAGGAGAAATTAATTTTGTTATATCTATTTAGCAAAAATTAACTTATCTGAAAAATACACATGCTCATTTGAGTTTATATCAATATTTTTGACAAAAAAAGTCGTAGAATTTATCCTTTTTAAACATGCCTCCATATACAATTACTGCCCAACCAAAATCAGATGTTTCTGTGCGATGTTGGTATTTACAATGAGTATATACACATCAGACCACACAGTAAGCCCTTTTTGTCATGCACATGTATTGGATTGAAGATTGTAAATACCAAACACATCAAACTGAAATTTTTCTATTAACAAGAGGGCCATGGCCCTTAACGGTCATCTGAAAATCGACAAGTGGACGGACAAACCACAGAATTTGCTGACAGTCGTCTGACAAATCTGATGAAACCCCTAACGAAGTTTCAGACCAAATGTGGTTGAAATCCTCCAAGGAGTAATGATTTTAAGGAAAAGTTTAGGGATTGCGAATGGCAGACAGTGGACGGTGCACAATGATGGACAATGTACAATAGCAATAGGTCATTTAGACTCTTTGGGTCAGTTGACCTAAATATATCAATTTTCTTCATGGATACAGGATTCACAATGACTATTGATAATATTGTCACCTGAGATTTTGTCACTTGTAAACCTTTAATGAAATCAAACAGTAACTTATTTTAGATATCTTAATACTCAATTTTATCTGAAATATTTCAAAGATTTTGACAACTGTGTTCTAACATATATATATATTCATCCAGTTTGGTACATGAAAGTATATAATCACAAAAAGCTGGAGTTACATCCCTTTAACAACCCTGAGCAACACAAACATCTGACAGCCTGAATACTCTCCAAGATGCTGCACATATTTTAACACAAGAATATCAAAACCTTAACTAATCACTTGACAATATATATAAAACATCATTTTCTCACAAAATGACTAGGTACTTTACCCTATGAATATTCCCCAAACTTTTTAGATGTGAGAAAATGATTGAAGGTTCATGATCAAACAGTTATTTGAAGCCTTCATTCTGGTGGTTATGTCACCATTAATGTTTTACTTTTGTATTTGTATCTCATGTACTTATCATGTATGAAACTGATCAAGATAAGCTACAGTAATGTGTATTACAGTGTTTTAGAAATGTTTCACCATTTTGGTACTGATCACATGATGGAAAATCATTTCTGTAGAAAAAAATTTGGTATATCACAACAAGCTCATTTATATAAAAACAGACTAAATATAGACATAGTACTTTGTTTTCAAGCTATGGGAAAGGTTAAACATTAAGGCTGGTTACCTTGACAATGCGTTCAAACCGTAGTTTTTTGGGTTCACCATCATCATCACATTCAATAGCACTAGCCACTAGGACTGCATCTCCAAACAGGAATACTTCTCGCTCCACTGGTTCAGAACTCTCAGGGTCACCTTCCCACATCTTCACTGAATCCTGTCACATAAAATCATGTTAGATATGTTGGAGATATTGAAATAATTAATAATATAAGGCAGGCATTTAATTTTCATTCATCATTCTTGACATTTATT